GTCAACCATATGGAATCGAATTCAATGTTCCAGTTGCTTTTTCCTGTGTCTTCTTTCTTTCCTTTTTTTTTTTTTTTTTTTTTTTTTTTTTTTTCTTTTGGTTTAGGAAGCTGTTCTCTTAGCAACCGCAGAAGCTCACGCTTAATTAGCACCGGGGCTGGCAGATGCACTGGGTGCAGAGCCTGACCCATGTGCTCACTTCTGCTAAAGAGCCACCTTCATCCTGGTGCAGACCCCTCTCCCATCCCACTCATGGAGGGGCAGAGTGGTAGGACCCCACTCTCTCTCTGTCTTTGCTGCGCAAATAGAACTTTCCCAATGTGGAGGTTCAGGGGTGATCTCCCCTGGTTCCTCCTAGATTTTCCTCGGGTGGGAGTGTGGGAGGCCAGTGGGAAATGATTCTGAAGGACCACTGCCAGCTGCCCAGAATTGGGGCACTCTATCCTGGACCGCCTTACTGGAATCGTGTCCTTAACCCTCCTAAAAACATAAAATATAATCAGGAGGACTGCAGCCCTGATTTTCCAGGGTCATTGTCACGTTGGGGAGGAGGGGGGCAGAAGTACCTCCTTGTGCCTGATTCTTTCGAACGGAAATAGGTCACGTTCGGATTTCAGATTTCCCTGGTGCTGGCCGTGCTTGCCTGGGTGTCAGGGATTTGCTGGAAGGCTGGTCAGAGACACGGATGACTCTCCCTTGACTTTCCTGCCACATCTGCTGACAAACAGACTTGGCGTCTTTAAAAATGTAAAAGGAAAAAAAAAAAAAAAAACTGAAAAGCACAGTACTTTATATTTAGCCACAGGGGCGCAGGAGCACCCGCAGAAGCCGGGTTTCCTTGGATAACTGGGGCTCCAGCTCGCAAACGCCTCCCGGTGTCTCCCGGCCAGCCAGCTCCCGCGCGGGCGCCTGCTCCGTGTTAACCCTGCCAGGTGCCGCTTCCCCGGTGCCCGCTTGCTCGCGGAGCAGGGTGGCACGGCTCACATGACTGTCACCGCCAGAGGTAGCCGGCTCTGAGAGCAGCCCCAGTCTGCGCACGGTTCCTTCCCAGCTGACAGACAGAATATGGGGTGGGCTCTGTCACCAGCACGCTGGGTCTGGCATGCCCAGCGATGCTCGGGGCTGCGCGGTGCCCAGACGCCCGCCACCGCTCCCCGGGTCCCAGCCGCGCCAGCTCCGAGGGGCCGGGCTGTGCGCCTAGCCTTCCTCCCCACCGAGAAGATTATATAATGAGCGGACCGCTGGCAAAGTCACAGGGAAAATGAAGTCTTTGTTAAATGCCCTCACCAAGAAGGAAGGTAAGGAGGGATCTGTAGGAAGCGTGGGGTACAGATGAGCTGCTCCTGGGGGGTGGGGACAGGGGACCCGGGTGGCTCCTGACATTGCCGGCTGCTGTTCCCGCATCCCTCACCGAACAGTTCTTTCAGCCTTCTGATACTGTTTGGCTTTAGCCGGTCTGGAAGATTAACACAGATGAAGGTGCCTTTGTATCTGAGTGCGTTTCTAAGCAGCCAGCTCCTGGCGGAACCGCATTCCAGAAGGTCTGATCCAGGGAGCCAGTGCCACAGGGCACATTAGGAAACTAAGTCCTGGGGAAGATAAAGGAAGTTTTGATTCTCTTCTGCAGGTCATCTGGAGGCTGTGAGCACCTGCTAAGGAGGGTCAGGGCACATGGCCGGCTGCACCCGTGGGTGTTCACGTCCAGTGCCACTTGCCAGCTCTGCCTGGCTCTCCCTGGGTTGTGAAGCCTCCGGGTGCGGCAGACTTTAAAAGTGCATACATCTTTATCATACCTTGTGTGATTTTTATTGTGGGAAAAGAAAAAAAAAACTGTATAAATAAATGCATGTAAGACGGCTAAGAAAATATCCACCCACCTTGGGCTTGCAGATTGCCTGAAAGAAGGAGACAGTTGGGTAGAATATTAATCATTTTCAGACAGGAAAAGAGTTATTTTTAACACTTTTCAAAAAAAAAAAAAATACCATCTTTTGCCTGTATGGTCCCAGCCAGTTTTGTCAGACGGGAAACTCTCTTCTTGATGAAACCAGGTTTCCAAAGAGGTGACTTTAAGAATCAGGAAGCTAACTCCTTAGCCCAACCTCATCATAAAATAAGCACTAGAGAAATTTCAGTAATCCAGAAACTAATTTGAAGGAGGCTTGGTCGTTAAGCAAGGCGATTTTCATTAAGACGTGGGCCCTAATGTCACCCATGTGGTTCCCTTTGACTCTCTTTCCTGGTCTTGGGCTGAAATGTATGTAAAATGCCCTGGCTGTTTTGTGTTCTCCCTGTGTGGCTGCCCCTGTGTGAGGGTCTCCTGCCCCCTGCCCTCCCTCTGCAGACCCTACAGACCAGTTTCAATTCTCTGTCTAACAAGACCCACCAAAATGCACCATGTGGGACTTCAATTTTTGTAACCCATGTACAGCATGAAGATCCGAACTACAGGATGTCTGTATTTCTATCTCCGACCTATTCTTCCACGGACTTTTCTTTCCTACTGGGTTTATCTTCACAATGGGCAGGACATCCTAGCCTCCCCACCCCGCCCCCACATCCCGTCATTTTGCCGTCATTTTGCCTTTAAGGGTGCTAGTCAGGAACACAGTCAACTGCGCTGTTGGGGATGGTTGGAGATGGTTGTAGGGTGTCAGAATGTCCTGGTACCAGGGACTTTCCACATGGCCTCACCTTGGGGGCCTCTCAGAAGCCCCCAGGCACTAGGACCATTTTCTTCTCCTGTGTCTGCATCTCTTTTGACTTTTCACATCAATAGAGCCCTCCAGCCCCTGATCTCAGTGAGTGGTAGATAAAGCCCTCTGAGATTGGGTGGGGGTGTCATCACCCCTTTGTAAGGTCTTTCAAATCTCTGTAAGTTCCAAGATCACTCACGGGCTCCCCCACCGGTCACACTTGTCACAACCTCCACGGTGAACACTGTGTGGCTTCTGGTCTTTACCCTCTACCTGCTTGGAGGGAGAACTGATGGTGTGGCATGGTTCCCCGCATGCCCAGACAAACATGCTTGGTGGCCTGACCTAGCCGCGGTTCTTTTGGAGGTGGGCTTCTGGGGCTCTGGCCCGGCCCTTCAAGAACACTTGCTCCAGGGAAGACACTTGCTAGCCTTTGGTGATCCCAGTCTGCCTCTGACTGTCCTGGCTGACCCCTGTGAGTCATGTGCTCGAGAAACTGGGAATTTCGGAATAGCCAGCTACAGAGCCAGCAGCTCAGTGAGCATCTGCCTCCTACTGAAAGCTGTCGGAGGAAGCAGGGGGGACGAGGTGTGCTGCTGCCCATCAGAGGGATTGGTGGGTACATCAGAGACAGCGAAGACTGGTGGGTTGTACCATCTACTGAGCCACAGCCTGAGTGCTGAGCCCAGCAGCTTTTCTGCCCTGCTAGAAGGCTTCCTGAGACATGCCTCCCAGCTCTGATTCCTGGGAAGTAGGAGAGGTGACTAGGTCATAGCCAACCAGGGAGAGGACTGCCAGGGTCGTCTCTGTCCCTGTGTGCTCTACTCTGGGCACCTCTGTCCATGTGAGCTTTCTTGGGGCCACTTCTGTTCCCATGAGTTCTTCCAGGGCCACCTCTGTCCCCATGAGCTCTGTCCCCATGAACTAAGCCAGGGCCACCTCTGTCCTAATGAAGTCTATCGAGGCCCTGCTGTCCCTCTGAGCTGTGCTACGGTCATCTATTTCCAGTACCATCCGTACTGTCATCCTCTTGCCATCCAGATGAGTGCGGGCTGGACATGAGTATATGGTAGGGCAGGCGTCTTTGCTGTGTATGATGTTCCCACCGATGACCTCTGAATGTCAGGGTCCTTCCCCAGCCAGCTCCCACAGAGGGGCCGGGCCTAGCATCCTCTGGCTTTACAGGGTCCCGGCTATAGAACAGAGCCCTAGCCTTAGGCAACATGAGCATTAGAACCAGAGGGGAAGCGATCCAGCAGCAATGCCACTCTGGGCATCAACAGGCCTGGGACATGCATGGTATCTTTGGACAGTAATCTGACGGCATCTACCATCCTTGCAGCCTGAAGAGCTGTCCCTGAGAGGCCCTACCATGCAAAGGCCACTTTCTGTTTCTAGCCCAGCCACTGAGCACCCAGGACTGCTGCAGTGTCCTGGTTAACCTCATTTGAGTCTTCAGGAATGTGGGGCTCAGGAGTATGAGGACCCAGCCTCTGTCTAGACCTTTCTATGAGATATCCAGTGAGGTAGAGCCACCTGCTGATGTCACATGAGGCTGGGCCCAGCTTGCTGGAGGAGGAAGGGGGCATGCTGAAGTGTAACGGGTTCACTATGCTAAGAGATGGGTGAACAGGGCTGGCTTTCCTTGCTCAGATAACTTACCAAGACCATAGGCCTCGGTGGTTCATAAAGACTAACCACCCATTGTTTCCTACTCTGGAGGCCGAAAGCTCGAGGAAAGAGCCACGGAACTGGCTCCTCCCAAGGCCTCTCACCTGGCAGATGGTGATTTTTATGATTCTTCATGTGATCATCCTCTACGTGCTTGCGTACTGATCCTGGGGTCACAATTACTGCTGCCACATCAGGTCACGCTAATGGCCCATTTTAACTTAGTCGCCCCTCTAAAGGATGTCTCTCCACATGCTGAGATTCTGGGTGAGACCACCGCATATGAGCTTCAGGCTCACAGCTCTCTCACCATGGGTCAAGGTTGTGTCTTTCTGAGCTGATGAAGGCACGGGCCAGGCAGATGGAAGGTCAGACCTGAGTTGCTTCCATCAAGGCCCTGGCCTGAGCCCTGGCCTAAGCTTCTGTGCGGAAAGCCTTCTCAGCCCCAAGCACCCCTCTGCTTTCGTGTTGGGGGCAAGCCGGGCCTTGGGGAGCCTGCACCACACCTGCACCTCCATCCCTGGCTCGCATGGGGGCTTGGATGCACGCAGACTTTCCACACCGGCTCCCCGTGCCCTGGTACTAACATCACTCATCCACATCTCCACATCTCTCCCTTCTTTTCTCGACCAGTGCCCTTCCGAGAGACCCCGGCTTACTCCAACCGCAGGCGCCGGCCCCCCAACACGTTGGCCGCCCCCCGGGTCTTGCTGCGTTCCAACAGCGACAACAACCTCAATGCCGGTGTGCCCGAATGGGCCGTCTGCGCCGCGGCCGCCTCCCACCGCAGCCTCTCACCTCAGCTGCTGCAGCAGACCCCCGGCAAGCCCGATGGAGCTCCAAGGAGCCTTGGAAGCTACACCCCCGGCCCCCGAAGCCGCTCCCCCTCACTCAACAGGCTGGGTGGCACCGGAGAGGACGGCAAGAGGCCCCAGCCACATTGGCACGTGGGGTAAGGAGGGGCTGGGGGGCGGGGGGCGGGGCTCCTGCGAGGACCCCAGGGAAAGGAGACGGTTAACCGTATAATACGTTCCCCAACGTGGACTGGCCCAGAAGATGCAGAGACCTGAGTTCTGACTTCTGAGCCCTGTTCAGCCTGGTAACCTTGATGGCTGCTCGAAAGGCTGGGCCTGGGAAACGCTGAGCTGAGTTTCTTGCGTGGGTGGGGTGCCGCTGCTGTTGTGTGTGGGTTGGGGGCAGGGGTGTCTTTCCTGTGCCTCCAAGTAAAATACCCAGGATGGAGGGAGGTAAGACAGAGTTAATCTGTACCCAGTGCCCTCCCAGTGCCAGCCCTGTACAACACTGTGTCCACAACAATGCCCACAGCAACGGGAAACTCAACCCAGGGGAGAAAATTGAGGCTCAGGTCGCATTATAGCACAAGGTGCCAGCCATGTCCCCAGCAGCCTCGGCTGGTACTTCACGTGGGAGCTGTGTCTGCCCAGCATGGCAGGTGTTCAGGGTGCCTCTGTCCGTCTCTGAATGCTCCATGTGACAAGAACCCCAGGACAAGTGGGCAGGCTAATTACCCCCAGGGTGGGGTTTGGGGCTTCCCTCCGTCTCTGCCCCACACAGCCAAGCGGGGATCCATACTCACAGCCCCGGCTCTTGAGCAGGCCTTGTCTTGCTTCTGGCTTCTTGAGTGTCTCAGCTGAGAGAGGGAACTTTCCTGGGGTGAGGGACCAGGTTTGGCGGCCATCAGAGAAATTCAAGCACAGCAAGGACTGTCCTGCCTTTCCTGTGGTCCAGGCCCTGTACCAGGAGCCTCAGCTCTGCAAGCCTAGATTGCAGCCCAGATCATATGGCCAGTGTGAGGCTAGGACCTAGATCACATTGCCAGCACTGAGCCAGGGCCCAGGGCACATGACCAGAGTGGAGCCACGGCCTGGGTCACATGACCAGTGCCAGGCTGCGACCCAGGGCTCCAATTTTGGGTTTTGGTTACTTGGTGTTGACATAGGCCTGGGTTTTACTGGCTGGAGCTGTGTTCCCAGTGCTATTGGAAGCCCCTCATGTCCACATCTGTGTCTGGGACCCTCATTCCCACCCCACAGTACCTTCTCATTTTTTCTCTGACTTCTGAAGCTACCAGCCCAGCCTCAGTGAGTCCTGCTGGCCAAGATCAGAGATGTTGACTAAGATCAAAGATGTGAGCTCTCTGTCTCTCTCTCTTTCTCTCTTTCTCTCCTTCCTCTTCCCTCTCCCTCCCCCTCCCTCCCCCTCTCCTTCTCCCTCTCCCTCTCTCTTCCTTCCTCCCCCTCTCTGTCTCTCTCTTTCTCTCCTCTCTCTCTCCCTCTCTCCCTCTCCCTCCCTTCCTCCCCCCTCCTGTCTCTCTCTCTCTTCCTCTCCCTCTCCCTCTCTGTCCCTCCCTCACCCTGTCTCTCTCTTTCTCTCCTCTCTCTGTCCTCTCTGTCTCCCCCCTTCCAGCCCCCCAGCCTCTGTCTGCAGTGGGCATGTCCCCGAGGAGCTGGCAGGATGGATCAGAAGTGAGCATGTCTAGAGGCAGCTCCTTAAGGCCCCCCGAGGGACGAGGGTGGGATTGCAGCTGCTGCCACTGATTCTGCCCTGGGTCCTGCTTTATATGGGGTTGGGGTTGGGGCTGGGATACACAGTGGCGGAGGGCAGAGAGAGGCCTGTGCACCCAGCATTCAACATTCACCACAGAGCTAGGATCTGCAGCCACACTGGGGATAGAACAGCCATGAGAACCCACCTGTAGAGGTGCAGGCTAAGCAGGTATCCAGGGTGTGTAGCCAGTGCCCTGGCCATGTCTGCCCTGTGTATCTTACCAGCCAGGCATTCCCAGTGCCCTTGGCTGGAGTTCTCTGCTTGCTGGGCACATCTCCACACAGCAATGGGAATGACCTTCCCTCTGGTCCCAGCAGGGAGATGGCCACTCATGCCAGTCCAGGTGACCGGGGACACGAGGCCTCACATCCCAGCATGGGGCATTACTGGAGCTCCAGGAGGAGGCTGAGCCCCTCAGCTCCATCTTATCCTAGGAACCTAGAGCTCGGCTCCATCCACACACCCTCATGGCCAGTTCCTTCCTGGGATGAGCAGGCTCCCGCCAGGCACTGCTGATAAGACAGGAAGGAGGAAGGGTGCCAACCCACCCACCCCAGGTGATGCCTGGTGGCCCTGGTTCCCCGGGATGCTGTCTGATCAGGACACTCACCTGTAGCTAGAGGAGAAAGTGCTTGGCCCTCCTCCCTCTGTGACATGGTACCAGCCCTGCTTCCCCACGTGGTGGCTTTTGGCAGGTCCCATGACCACTTTGTGCCTTGGTATAAAATGGAACTGATAGTGTCATCTTTCTGGGCATGGAGGGAAGGATCATGGGTTTCATACCTGGCATGGGCTGAGATCTGGGAACTGTCACAGTTGGTTCTGTGACAGTGTCTGCTAACTCTGTCGTTAGCATTTCAGAAAGACACCTGTGGGGGCAGGAACAGAGGGCATGCAGCACCCTGGTCCGGAGGCAAACACCAGGCCATGAGAAAAACAGATGCCACATTGGGGGGAGGGGACATCTTGAACAAGGTAGAGGACTTGTCTCGGAGGCTGTGGCTTCACCCAGCCCCGTGCTCTCTGCATGGCCTCACTACCCACAGGAAAGTCAGCCCCCAGCTCTACTCCTGGAGTACCTTCCCTGACTAAGCTCTGGAAACCTCAGCAATCATTCAAAGGTCAGGGCTAGTCTTGATGAGAGGGACAGAGTTCCCAACCTGCCCAAGAGCCTGGATAGGACAGGATCCACTTTCCCCAGAGAAATGAGTCAGCCTGGCAGAGTGACAGAGTACGTGGAACTCACGGGTCCCGGGTGTGTAGACAGTCAGTGCCTGCCGGAAGGTGGGGCCTCCACTATGGACATAGAGGTGCCCTTACCCTACCTCTCACTGCCCAGGCCGGCCCAGAACCTGTAGCAGGGTGTCCCTCTGAAGCAGGAGAAGACGTTGCCAGGGGAGGATGCCTGCACCTGCTGCGGGCCTACCATTTCTAGAAGCTTCTCCTAGTCGCCTTTTCCAGAGTTCTTTCATGTCCTTCCCCTTGGTCCCTCCTGCCTTGTTTCTCTTCTGCCCTGTCCTAGACCCTGGCCCAGAGAGGGTGGGAAGCAGTGTGCATCCCCACAGCCTCTGTAAGGCTCTGTGCGCCTTTCCTGAGGCGGCGCCCTCTAGTGGCTCCCACAGGCACGGCTGTGTCACAATCCTAAGATTTCGAAGAGGCTTCCGTCCACCCATCCAACTGGCACCTTGGGAAGTGGATCGGGCCTTCGGGGACCCCCAGAGCTCCTCCCAGCTGCCAGGATGTGCAACCGTGCATGCATGGGGACATCCTGCTACTGTTTTGTCAGGCAGTTGTTCCTTGAATGGTGCTAGCTGGTAGAAAGCAAATGTGTGCTGGTAAGGTCACTGGGGAGACAGTGGGGTCATAGGCCCCTTATCAGCTGTGTCCAGCCGAGACCTGCAGGCATTTCTGAGCCCCACCTATCTCTGGGGTTTCAGGATGAAAGGACTGAATGCTCATGAGGCGAGGACTATGATGTGGGCCTCAACGGCCGTCCGCAGCAAAAACCAGTTCCTCACTCTATACCCCGGAAGGGATACTCTCCCAAGACAAGCATCTCGCATTGCAGAACAGGGTGCCAGAGGCCACAGAGAGTTCTGGTTGTAATCATAAAGTTCAAATATCACAGTCCCCTCCTTCCCTCTAAGTAGAAATGGATTCTAGAAGAATCTAGGGTAACCAACTTGCTTGTGTACCCCATCTTGTTGGGCATGGTGTGAGAGTGGCTGTGGGACTCCCCTGTGGCTCTGGCCTGTGTCTATCTGTGTCTTTCTTATGGCTCCCTGAGAACATGGGGTCCTGCACACCCAAGCCTGAGCCCGGTGGGGCAGAGATGTGGTTTCTCCCTGGTAGGAACAGATGTTAGGGAAGAAAGTGGCTCTTTTCCCTCCCCTGGGCCCCATCGACCCCTAGACTGTGCTAAATACGCAGGAGTCAAGTATAGAGTCTAGACATCCCAGGCTATCTTGTATGTCACCTGCATGTAAGCTGTAGTTTCAGGTCACTAGGACCCTAGTAGTACAGCCAGGCCTATGGCTAGGGAGGCAGGGCTAGGTAAAGGTGCTCCCTGGGAGAGCAGGTGCATCCTGGGTGTTTGTGGTATTGAGATTCTTCTCCTTGTGCATGTCATAGGGCGCAGGGTTCCCTACTGTCTATAGCTGTTCCTCTCTGGCAGTCCCTAGTTGCTGGGGTTCAGGAGGTACAGGCCTGTGGTTCCAGGTACTCCCCATGTGCCAGTGGATGTGTATGTGTGTTCCCTACTCTACCTGGGAGGGCGGGAGGCATGTTAGTATCAGCATGGGTGTCCCAGAGGACGTGTGACTGTGGATTCGGGGCTCACGCAGAACAGGATTCAGACCCTGAGGGAGCTCTCTGGAGAATAGGAGACATAAGCTGGGCAAGGGTGTCATGGGGGGATGGGACCCCGTGAGTCCAGTTGAGCAGGGGAAGATGTGGTGAAGGGGCCACACTTAATGCAGCCGTCGTCACGAGGTAGAAGGCTTTGGGTGCGTCGCACCAGGAGTTGGGGTGGCCCTGGCATGGCACACAGGCAGAACCCTCTCCCAGCCAGCTAGAGCCTTAAACAGCCTGTTGGCCGCCTGACCAGAGGAGGTGTTTAGTGGTCGGCGTGGCACTGGCACATTCACCCACTTCCGGCCTGTGAACTGAGCAGGTCTCTTGCTCTCTGATACAACGGGCTTGCCCTGCTGAAGGCTGACTCTCGTGGGTTGTGGCTCTTGTTCTTCCCATAGCAGCCGCCGAGGCCAGTGGGAAGCACCTCTTGCGTGAGGGCAAGGTCCTGTTCCTGGGGGAGAGCAGCAGGGGCAGGGCAGGCGCAGGTGCCCTCGGCAAGCCTCCCGTGATGCCCGCTTTGGTATTTCCTCC